CTAAATACATTAGAATAAAACCATACTGGCTAACTAATTATCTGATAATTTAGCTATCTGATTTTTATTCAAGTTTTACCATGACATAAAGATATTCTATAGCTATTCCATAAATCAGAATAATGTTTAAGTTCAAAAGGGTCTTTTTAGGTATAAGTAGCTATAGTACATTCCTCTTCTCAGCTTTTAAAATGATAGTTTTAGATTATTTTGCTGCCTTCTTACCATCACTTCAGAAATGAACTAGTACATTTAATAATGCAATTATTAAATAATATTAACTATGAATAAAAACATTTTCATTATAAAAATGATTTATTACTGAATATCTGGTAGCTAAGAATAAAAAAGAATCTTCCATCTATAGACTGTATTTTTAAGTTTTAGGATCACAAATGAATCTTATGCAGACGAAGATACAAAGATTCTATCTTGGCTCATTTCTAATTATCCAGAGAAAGCATAGGATGAAGGATAAGAGGAGACTGGGAACGTGAAGAAACACAAAGAGGAGCCCCAACAGCATTGTATACACCCAAGAGAAACAAACTTAAGTTTCCAGAAACAATTGCTTGCTGTCTGGGAGATGCTCAGGCATCAAACAATAAAGAACAGTCAACAGAGGCAAGAGGCCGAGCATGCTGCTGTGATTCCTTCTCTCTAATCCCTCTGAGCTCCAGTAAAAAGGCCAGCTGTTGCCACCTCGCGTAGGGAGTCAGCAGAGCAAATTAACTGCCAGGATGGGGGAAGTTGAAGATATTGGAAAATTCTAATTTACCAGCCTCTTTAGTTATACTGTTTTTAACACTAAGGATATCAAACTATACCATTACAATAAGCCTGTACAATGGTAACCCAAGTAAAGAAATTTATCACTGTTGACACATTTCATTACTAAATATGAAGTAATACACTGAAACTTGTTAGAAAACATTTCAATGCTCCCAATCTAGCTCAACAAAAAGCCTGCATTTAGAATAATGGCCACTTTGTTCAATTAAAGATTCCATATCTGTCACAACTGGACTTTAGGACTCTAAATATGAACACAACCACACTAAAAAACTGTCTGAATTTTGGGCAACTTAAAGGCTACTTAATTAAGGTGCAATCTGACAGAATATATTTGGAGATACATTTATAAGTCATATAAAGAAAATTAATTCCTTTAATCTGTTTATGGCTTCACATATACTTTGGAGTTCTTTTACCTAGATGTTCTATCAAAGTTCTCATATAGTTTGAAAGCTTTTTAAATTATAGGAAGTACACAGAATAACAGTGAAGATGAAAGTCATCATCACTAAAATGTATGTCTTTCTGACCCACCTTGTGGAGGATACTGTTAATTATGGAAGCATCCCCAAAAGAATAATTCTGTATAATTATATTTTTTCAAAGGTTTGAGTTTTCCCCTATAAGTTAGTTCAGTGCAGTATTAAAATATCAGGTTGAAAATTGAGCAATCTAAATGAATGTTAATGGCTCTTTAATTTTTGGGTTATCAATGATTACACAGAGAATACCAAGTAAAAGTTGGGCATTAGTGAATGAAAGACAGAAACCTAAGTCTCAAGCAATTTTATAATAATGGTCCAAACACTCACAATAACCTAATTAATAGTTGATACAATAATCACAGAATAAAGAATAAAAGAACTCCATGTTGTACTGAGGATGCTTAGCAACAAACAGTATGAGCCATTGTTACCGTGCCCAGATCTCAGTTTCAAAGGAGGGATGGGGGAAGAACAAATTACAACAAAAGTTTATTAAATCTTGGGGCTGGAGTTGTGGCTCAGTGGTAGAGTGCTTGCCTGGCATGTGTGAGGCACTGGGTACAATTATTGCCACCACATAAAACTAAATAAAAAAAAATAAGAGTTCATCCACAGCCAAATATATACAAAATAATATATATATATGTTTATGAAATCTTAGCATTCATTTGTTTTATATGACAATCAAAAACATTTTAATTTATAAATCAAAATCTACTATAACAGAAAGAACAACTCTGAATTGAGCCATAATACCAATCTTCACCTTTCTAAAGAAGGTATTTTAAAAGTGGTCTATTTCAACAAATAGTTTGGTTATGTTACTAAAAATTACACTAAGAGTTAAAATGGATTCCATCTAAGTTGACATTATATTTAAAAGGCTGTAAAAAATCCTTTGAAATTAATCTTACTAGAAAGTCAAAAGAATTTCAGAGGTCATAATGAATATATTTCAATATTGGACAGTTCTAAGTGTAAATAGGTACTGAAAAAAAAAAAAAGGAATAAAGGTACAAAGATGAGTTGCATTCTTATTAAATTGTCCATGAAGTAACTCAGTCTTTTGATATATTCAGGTCATGTTTTCAAATGTCATTTTCAACCAAGATCCTTACATTAGTTATAAACCACAAATCTTTTTTTTAAAAAACCCTTTGTGTGAAGATAATGTCAGAATTACAAAAGTTGCAAGAACACTACAAAAACATTTTTTCCTGAAACATTACTGTCTTTATGTCCCATTACTCCAAAATATTCTATTATGTATTAACTACAAATTAGGATATTTTTCTAAACAATTCCAATTAGTAATCAAAACTTGAAAACTAATACTGGCATATTAGTACCCAGAAATGCTCAGATCTCATTTAAGTTTCACTGATGGTCCCATTAATGTCCTTTAGACAAAATTCAAAAGTTCAGGATCAGACATTCCACTAAGTTTTCATGTCTTTAGTCATTCTCAGTTTTTCCTTCTCTCTCATGGTCCCAGTAGCTGAAGATTATGTAGACTGTACTTTAATTTGGGTTCTTCTGATATATTGTTATGACTAGATTTAACTTATGCATCCTTACTAAGAATATCTTGGAAGTGAAGCTAGGGTCTTCTCATTGCATTCTGTAAGGTGGCACATGGTTTTGATGTGAACATTACTGATATTAACTTTGACCACTTGATTAAGGTAGTGATTGTCAGGTTTATCCACTATAAAGTTACTCTTTTCCTTAATGTATTTTCTGTGGAGATATTCTGTATGATCATAAAAACATCCTGTTACCACTGATCTTATTCACTTATTGACATAACTATCAATTTATGGATTCCTATTTCATTTGATGAATTAAGATTTGTTATTAATATTTATTTTGTCATCTAAATTGTCCCAGGTTTGGCCAGTTAGTCTCAACAGGGCCTCTGTGTCCTGTTGACATGTGCCCATCATCCTTCAAGCACTTCCTTACTTTTAAACCCTAATATGCTGCATATTTATCCTGTCCTCTTCCTGCCTATCTCCAGAGATTCTCATTTCTAAATATGAATCCTCTTCTCTATGCTTCTTGAGACATTTTTTTCCTTCCTCATTTCTTTGCTCTTCTTAACTAGCTTCATTTCAATAGTGAATATATCTTTTCCAGAATGAGGAGAAACAATGTACTACTTCTTATGGACTCGTTTTCAAGTAAAAATCAATGAATCACTGAAGCAATGAAATAATTTAAGACCCAGGTAAGCTTAAGACTGGTAAAAATATGATGCATCAAAATTTTAATCATCCTCACATTATACTACTCTTCACTATTTTGAAATTATAATGAAAATTCTTGATAGCTGCTCTTTCTCTAAACTTTATAAGCTAACATACTACCTACCCTCTTAAATGAATATGCTGTATTAGAAACTTTGGTCTGTATGATACAGTATTGGCTATTAAGCTCAAAATTTCAGACTGAAAACATCCATGATGATATTCCCAAGAATTACACCAAAGATAAACAATAAGGTGAAGATACTTTCAAGACTCTTTTTCAACTACTGAACAAAATCATGGCTCATCTCCTTTAGTGTGAATGATGAAGCTGAGTCACTGGTGAAACCCTTGCTTACGAATATTATTTGGTACATTAACACCACTATAATTTTATATGGACAAAAGGAGCACTATGAAGCCATAGGACTACTTGCCCTTAAAAACCATCAAGAGAACTTGGCTTGATAGTACACAGAATTTGAGTTAGTAATATTCTTTCTTTAAATAATCAAACTGGGAGTGGAGTACAGGGTATAGGATTATGCAGGCTCTATTATAAAATATTAGAAAAAAAACATCATTTTTCAATCACTTAAAATATATATGCTGATAAAATTCATTGAAGTATTTTACTGTCTTGATAATTATCCTGAGGGATTAAAAAAATTGTACACAATTGTGACAGTGACATATCTAGTACTAATTTAGCATGAAATTTTGAACCAGGGACTTCTAAATACTTGCAGAACAAATTCTCTCAACAATCATTATTATAGCAGTCATCTTATAAGTAAAGGAGACATGACTTTGGGAGATTCTGCCTAAGAAACAGCTAATAAACGCAGTTCAGATCTGAGTGCAGGTTTTTTGTGTTAGCATATACTTACCTCTAATGCCAAAGTGGCATGAGAAACCTAAATATAAAGACAGATGACTAGAAACTGAGATGTAAATGTGTGGATGTGCATCTATACATGATTAGATGTACACAAACACAACAGTATTTCTAACTCTCTACACTGAGAATACCTGGGAATTGTGATATTTCGATAATATGAGACTATCCAGTTCTCAGATCTTGATTTCTAACTAAAAATCTCTAAAAACTGAAAGCTGGGTTAGGGAATGAACCTGGAACATTTTGCTATCTGGAAGGATGATGCTGGGACAACAAGTGAAACTTGAACAGAGTCTGAGAATTACATACAGCAATGTCTCAGTATTAACATCCTGATTTGGGTAGTTGCTAGAAAATCCTTGTTTCTAGGAAATACACAGAAAGTACTTGGAAATGATGGGACTTTAAGTCAGTTTTTTACTCTGACAGTTCCAAGAGAAAAAAACCAAAGTTCCTTGTGGATAGATACTTTAGCTTTCCTATAAATTCTAGATTAAATGGAAAAACAAAACAATGTAAAAGGTGAAGGGGGAATAGGAGGTAAGGCAGGGAGCAGGAGGATCTACTTACTGAGGTCTTCTGCCAGTTGAACTCGTTTGCCAGTCAGCAATTTAACTTTCTTCTCATTGTCTTCAGCAAAATCTTCCAATACCTCTTTAACGTTTTTCTCTAATCGCCTAACTATTCAAAGTAAATAAAAAACTTGAGGAGCACTGTTTTTATGATGCAAAGAATGATAAAATTAACCATACATGAAGAGTAAGTCATTTTTTTATCATTTATCAATTTTTGCATAAAGAAGGTAGATGCTCGGTATGCTTTATCTCCCAACCTTTTTGAATTACAATTTATTTTTACTATTTTCGGGGAAAATTATAATTTTCAGCTTTTCTAATCAATCTTTTTAAGGAAGTATTTTGGAATTGTTTTATTAAAAATGTCAAGTTAGCCGGGCATGATGGTACATTCCTGAAATCCCAGTGGCTCAGGAGGCTGAGGCAGAAAGACTACAAGTTCAAGGCCAGCCTTAGCAACTTAGTGAGACTGCAAGCAACTTAGTGAAACCCTGTCTCAAAAAAAGGTCAAATTAAAAAGCAGTTTCTATGTGGCTTACCTTCAGTATTTGTAAGTTGTTGTCGTAGAGTATTTGCAGTGATAGCAAGCATGCGCTGTATTCGCCAAAATAAGACCACATCATTGCATTCCAGCTGAAATATTAAGTAACTAAGATTAACAAATAAAAAGTAAAAATGAAAACCATGACTGTAAATACATGTAACTATCAAAATCAGAATTTATCCTAAGTTTTAACAAAATATTCTTCTTTACTGTAGTTTATATAAACTACAGAATTTTTTCTATACAGATTGATAGGATCTTGCATGATTTGGATTCTATCTCAACCACACCTACATAGCTTTGTTTTAATTCCTATGAGTAAGCAAATAAACTTGGTAAGTAGAAAATTTCATTGTGTTACAAAAGTAGAAATTCATAATGTATACTCTCAATTTATACGTAGGTTTAATTATGTCCTTAAGTTAACCTCTTTTCTTTGAGTGTGCAAGTCATTTTTTTTTTAAAGCTTATTCTGTTACGAAACGTTCTTTTCAACAATTAAAGTTATGCAAGAAACTTGACACTTTTATATAGGTTCATTTAAACACAGATTTATTTTAAGCTGCTGAAAACAACAGAAAAGTGTTTTGGAGGTCTCACAAATACAGCTTTTTCAAAAGGATATTTAAAAGTATTTTTACTTATTTAAAAAATGGTCAAAATACATCAGTCTGCTGCCATCTAGGGGTTACTTAGAAAAATGTTCTAAACTATAAAACAGTTCATTATGACTTTAGTTCTTTTAAAGAATCATCTAAAACAAGATTCTAGTGATATGAAGAAATAATTAAGATATATGATAGACTTAAAACAAAAATTGCTTTGCTGTATGATTTCCATTATGCAAATGGATGATTATACTTACACACATACACTCCCCAGAAAAAGTTAAAAATGAGAAGTACACAGAAATGCTAACTAAAATAACTTTCAAGTCTAAGGAGTATAAGTGATTATTTATTTTACATATTCTTTTACATTCTTTAGAGGCACTGGGAATGATATGTATGGTAGATGTAGTCACTACCAAAGTAGCACATATATTTGAAAAGATGAGTTGGAATACCTTTTATAAACTATATATATTTTCTAGACGAACAAAGGACTTAAAATTCAAATTAAAATTAAAGCTGAATTTTCAATATCTTTAAACAACTATTGCTAAAAAATATTTCCCTTTGTTTTGGAAAACCTTACCTCAGAATCTACAAAATGCCTTTGGTAATAATAAAAGCCTCTTCGACAAAGGTTACAATGATTTAGAGCTGTTTTTAAGAAATGTCTTCTATAAACTTGATGCCAAGTATCTTTAATCTAAAATATGAAAACAAAAATTAGAGTGTTATTTTATACTCTTCACATTGATCAATCACACTAAGAAATTATACATAAAATTTATTACAAAAATGTTAATTAAAAGCAACAGCAAGGTTGTTATTTTATCAACCTTCTTTATTCACTTACATTGTTTTTCAAGCCAAAATTACATTTACTAGTTTATGTATTCCAAAACATGCAATGTTTTAAACAAGCTTGTTGTTTTATTCAACCAATTTGTAGAATAGATAGCTCGGGAATTATCCTTGCCTAATCAGGACAAAGGAAACCAAGGCAAAAAAGAGGCTGAAAGGCAGAGTTAGGACCAGGAATCTGTTCTTGGAACAACAACATTTTTTCTTGTTGGTGCTGGAGATTGAACCCAGGGACACTTAACTACTGAGCCATACCCCCAGCTCTTTTTTATGTTCTATTTAGAGACAGGGTCTCGTCAACTTGCCGAGGTTGGCTTTGAACTCACAATCCTCCTGTCTAAGTCTCCCAAGCTGCTGGGATTACAGGTGTGTGCCACTGTGCCCAGCTAATATTTCCTTTTTGATAATTAAACTTCACCGCTATCATACCAGTATGATCCCTACCACTTTATTACTACATAATAGTATTAGAGCTCAATGTTTCTTCATACCTATTGTCTTTCTTTGAATATAACACGAATAATGCTAAGGAGACAAACAAAACAAGTATCAACAACATGATTTGACAGATAGGCAAAGTGGGGCTCAGAGAGCTATCAATTATTAAAGGTAATATAATGAAACTGTATTAGAATTTAGAACTCCTGACATCCAATATTCTTGTGATGACATTTGGCTTCTTATTTTAGATTTTTGTAAGATATACTAAACAAAGTATCACTTAAAAAAATAGATTTCTCTTGTTTACAGAAAGATATATATATATATATATATATCCAATCTATATCTTTAGATATGGGCAAAAGCTTAAAAAAAAATCATACAACATTTTCTACTCCACTATTAAGAGAAAATCCTTCCTACTGTATTAACCAAATCAACATAAATTTAAAAGTATCAAACTGAATATAAGAAGAGTATCACTTAAGCAAAATATTTGGGACCAGACATATTTCAGATTTCAGAATTTTTTGAAGTATCCACATACATACAACAAAGATTCTTGGGGACAGGACCCAAGTCTAACCATGAAATTCATTTATGTTTATATACACCCACACAGCCTATAGGTAACTTCATACAATATTTTTAGTGCCCCTGAATTTTGACTATAACCAGTTACATTAGGTTGGATTAGAATTTTCTTTTTGTGGCATCAAGTTGGAGCTAAAAAAGTTTCAGATTTTACAGGATATCAGATTTCTGAATTAAGGATGCTTAATCTGTACAACTTTTTGTTAATAAGAGTAAAGACCAATGTAGACAAATTAAATCTATACTCAACTAAAAATCTCATGTTCAATTTATAAATAATGTTAGTTTTATAACAGCTTTAACTACTTTCATGTTGACCAGTTTTTTATTTTCTTGTGAAATTTAAAGCAAGTATATTTATTTCTCAAGTGCAGAAACATAATCTTTAAAAAAATCTTATGGGTGATTCTGAAATTTTTATATGACTGTTCTCCCCACTAGATTAACTTTTCTAACTGGGTTTCACTTAAGCTAATATTAAAAGGAGTTTCTGAATCCTTTATTTTCTAGCAGGAAATGGAGACCTGTAAAGTTTTATTTTGTTTTCTAAAAATTTGTTGCAAATAATCATTATGAAAGTAAGCAAAAAGTAGTCTGAAGTTTAGATTGTCCTCTTATTTATCATAAATAAAGAAAATGAGATAAAATACAAAGGTCTTATCCAATTCAATAAAAGCACACATATTTTTTCTAAATCTATCATATCTATACTTGACTGCAAAACATACACAATATATATGCAGAAATGAGCCACATTTAAACAGAAATTCTATTTTGCAATCTAAAACAGTGTGACGTGATGCAGTTTCACCCTTTTTTTGCAAGAACTGCTGAACTTGCCCAAGAAAATCCAATTTTCTAAATTTCAATTTCCGATTTATAGATTACCCTTTAAAAAGCAAAATTGAGCATAACATTTCTTCACAAAATAACTTCATATAATAAAAATGACCAAGTTTTCATGTCAGCAAACGTGGAAATAAAATAACATTAAGAAGTTAGATATCTATGCAACACATTAGAAGCAATAACATTGTACTGCATAAAACAATGATTAAGAAAGCAGATTTGTGTTTTTCAGCAATATTTATTACCAAGCTTGGATCTACTTCTACTCCTCGGGATTCCAGGTTCTTTCGGACGGTGGTTATCTCATCACTTGCCAAATAAGCTGGGTGTTCCTCATTACATTTCAACATCTTCTCCAATTCATTCTTTGTTTCATTGTGAACAGACTTTAAAATGTTGAAAAGAGGACTATGCTTAGATGCTTTTACTTTGGCACTTGTAAAAACAGAATCCAATTTTAATAGGTACATCGATATTGCATAATAGGTGACACAAGCTTAATCACAGCAAGAAAAAACACAGAATCCTAACACAAATATGGGTAAGTGATCTATGAATGCGGGGCAATTTGCCTTAAAAAGGGGGAAAAATAGGAATCAGACCTATTTATTAAATTTTACTCTTGCTGCAATGTTTTACTATTGAAGACACAGCACCAGGTATCTTACTATACACTTCCTTTTCTCCACCTACTTTAGGCTTAGGGAAAAGAACTCTGAAAACGAGAAAAGATGTTCTATAAATGCCCAAGAGAACTCAGATCTGTTGACCTTTTTTCCCCCTGATTAAATACAAAATGCTAGTTTGATATTTTAAAAAAAGTCTTTTCATTAAAAATCACACTTCAGACTGTTCCTGTGAGGTACTTATCATTCTTAAATGATTCACTTTCAGCCTCTTCTCTATAATTGTTCATAAAGCTCAGCAAAGAAGGAAAACAGATATAATACACATAAACACACATTATAAGTTTGAAAACAAGACTTTTATACTGTGTCAAATTAATTTTTCATTTTTCAATCCTTCATTTAAAATTGTATGATAAAAAAAATCTATTACTCTAAACAAGTTACAATAAGACTTTGCTCCAAAGTGTACCACAACTATGGAATATAAGTTTTTAAACAAGAATAACACTTTTAAATGCAACTAATTAGCTTGTAAGTAGAAGTACCAATTACTACTCTCTGAAGATATGGCACATTAGGAGAAATATTAGTAAAGAGGCATTCACTGTTTGGTTAAACATTTCTATTCAGTTTGAGGTAGGAAGGAAATCTCTGTTAAAGGAGTTCCCTCTAATTCGCCGTGGCCTGCATTTTCACTTCTACCTTCCTAGACATCAAGCACTTCACCATGACACTTAGTCTTCAAAAGACAACTTCTCTCTTATTTATCCTGAAAATTAATTCAGCTCAGACAGGTGAAAATGTTTCAAAGGGTATGATTTTCCTAGGAATCTAAGGAAAACATAAAATAAAAAATACTTTTCAGAGCATGTAGCATGTATTTGTAATTTCACAGGACAATCTTTTTTCCTTTCCTGCTAAATCCTGTTACTCAAGACAGAATTGTAACACAGCTACCTAAACTTGCAATATGAAACCTGGAGCTATTCTCAACCTCTTCTAGAATTTGTTTTCTGTGGTAATTTCTGAGTGTGAGGTATAGAACCAAACAGGAGTAGGAAGGATTGAAGGTCAGAATAGAACTTGACTTGCAAGTCTAACACAAGGCTATCTTTTGAAGGAAAAAACAAATATAAAAACATCTCCCCAGGTGATTCAGAAGTGTCTCCCTCCACAGCCTAAATGTCGCCTCTGTTCAGTCAGCTGGGTACACATGTTGCCCTGTAATTTTTGGGAGAGAAAGCTCTTCTCTGAAAAAGAAAGCTCTTCTCTTGCTCATCCAGGCTTACACATCTTTTGCAATGACCTTAAAATAAATTCCTTTACTTCTCTTCCAGTTCTAGTAAACAAACAACAACAAAAAAAAATTTAAAAACCCTGATAATCAGGAATCTTTTCCAAGTATGTTCTGGCAAAGGATATTTACCACTAGATGCTAAGGCAAGTTCTGCTACTGTTGATTATTATGGATATTTTAGGCCCAATTTCCCCTAAGCTTGAATTGAAAATTCATTCAATTTTCTCTTGAGTTTATCTGTCTTACACCAGCACTTTGTAATCAATCAATGCCTCTTCCTGTCTCAAATGTCAGAAGCCTCTAATGGATTCCCCAGAAATCCTCCTCTGACAGATCCCCTCCTCTCAGCCCATATGTACAGGAGAGATAATTGATGTACCCTAAACACATGTTCTAATCACCCACTCTGTCTACTTTCCCAGCTTCTCTGCAAGTTCTTAATGAGTCATTGTCCACAAAAGTCTTAAGAGGAAAAAAGAGAAGGAGAGAAGATGAGAAAGATGGGACTGGGAGAGGGAACTGTATTCAATATTTGAGCCAAGTTGAGAAATCGGATATCTTATGAAACAAGATATGTGAAAAATTAGAAGAAAATAGGGTGTTGATTATTTAATTCAACTATTTAAGATGAAAATAAGAATATAAAGAACAAAGTGTATGTCCTTAGGTAATTAATTTTTCTACTTTTTAGTCATTTTTTTTCTCTAATTAAATGGGTACAAAAAACAAAACCAGAACAGAAAGTAGATTGGATGTTACCTTTTTCTTACAACTTCATTCATTTGTATATTTAGATTCTATATTCTATTTAGATTCATTTAAGGAATAAGTGTAAGAACAGAGGTATAAGCCTGAAAGTGAGACAGGAAAACAAGCTAAAAACAAAGAAGGAAAAAAAGTGGTGAAGGCAGGGATAAGGACATGAATGACATACATTTTTCTGCAATTTACTTATTTTTAGTTATTTATCATTAGACTTTTCCATTTTATTCTTCTGAAGTGCTCTTTTAACGTTTATTAAAGGAACAAATTCTGTAACTATGTCCTGTGTGAATTTTTATATTTACATTGCAAACACAGGAACAAAATATACAAAGCAATAAAATAATGCAAATAGATTTCCAACAGAAAAATTTAGGGAGAACAAAATACGGCAAAAATCATTAATTATTTTTCTTCCTAATCATAGTCTATGCATCTTTTGAAATCCTTTTCAGTTTTTTCTGTTCATAACTAATCCTTTTTTTTGTAGTTGTAAATGAACAGAATGCCTTTGTTTATATTTATATGGTGCTAAAAATTGAACCCAGTGCCTCACCTGTGCTAGATAAGTGTTCTGCCACTGAGCTACAGCCCCATCCCAATCTTTTTTTTTCTCTTAATCTCAAGTAGAGAACTGAAATAAACAAAGTAGTCAGCTAAAAAAGGGTCATGTTTTATCTTCATTTTCTTTTATTAACACAGTTACTTGACTTTTAAAACCTTCTCAGATAGTTTATTCTTTATTTTAAAGATTCATTAAATCTTAAAAGGGCAAATATAAAATATTTTAAATTCTTAGGATTGATCTAGAGCCAGGCAAAGATTATATTTTAATGCTTGAATTAAAATGAACAAAGTTATATTATTATGAGACCACAGAATCGTTTTTACCTGTTCTTGGGTCCGATTTTTCCAGTATATCCACCTTTTTCTCCAGTCTGGGCCTATCATGTTTTCAATTGCATTTTCAGCTGGGGAAAAAAAAAAAAAACTTAAATTAATTCATCAAAGGACTTAAAACATCAAAGGACTTAAAATAGCATACTAACAGGGACACGGCCACATCAATGTTTATAGCAGTACAATTCACAATAGTTAAACCCCGATATTCCTGAGTTAATAATTTAGATGATCTTTTTTTTTTTTTTAAATATTTATTTTTTAGTTTTCGGCGGACACAACATCTTTGCTTGTATGTGGTGCTGAGGATCGAACCCAGGCCGCACGCATGCCAGGTGAGCGCACTACCGCTTGAGCCACATCCCCAGCCCATTAGATGATCTTCACCTTTCTTTTTTGCCATATGAACTAACATTTAGGTGGAACCAACCTAGATGCCCTTCAGTAGATGAACAGATAAAGAAAATGTGGTATATATACAAAATGGAATATTATTCAGCATTAAAAGAGAATCAATTCATGGAATTTGCAGGTAAATGGATGAAGCTGGAGATAAAATGAAAAGTGAAATTAGCCAATCCCCCAAAACCAACTTTAAGCATGCTGAGCCATAATATGCTGTGTGTGTGTGTGTGTGGAGGATTAAATGAACTCTAGATAGGGCAAAAGGGAAAAGGGAAGAGAGGAAGCATAGGGTTAGGAAAATTAGTGGAATGCAATGGTTATCCTTACCCTAAGTACATGTAAGAAAACATGAAGGATGTAACTTTACTTTGTGTACAACCAGAGATATGAAAAATTGTGCTCTATATGTGTAATATGAATTGTAATGCATTTTGTTGTTATACATAACAAATCAAATTTTTTAAAAAAGAACTTTATTACTTAACAAGGACAAAAATTATTACTAATAATGATCTTACTTTCTTAACTATTTCATATCAATATAAAATCAGTTGAAATAAAGGAAAAAAATGATGATTGATATGGGTACATGTATAAGAAAGAATTATGTGTCTAAAATTTATGAAAAGTACAATTGCTTATAGAATTCCTAAAAGTGCAGCAAACACAAATATTCTGAATTGTACCTTTTTAGAATATGAATACATGTAAACATCATGTATCAAATTTATTTATTCTTTTTAGTAGTCATAAAACACTTGACTGAAAAATCCAACAAATATTCAACTATATGAATGACGAAAATCTTGAAATGTTTTATTTTTACACTGTTCACTACTGCTTCACCACTGCAAATGTTCAGAACTCAGTTCAGAATTCACATTCAAAGATACTTACTATCCTTGAGACGAGCCTGAAGAGCTTCTTCCATAAAATAAATAGCTGCATCCCACTGTTGCTTATCAGAAATGGACCTGTCTTCTAAGGCATTGTGCTGAATCACCCTCTGCAATACAAATAATGAAAAAAGCTGGGTTTGACTTAATGTCTCCTTATTTCAGTAATTTCATATCAGCTTAGTAAATATTCAAAATAACAGATGTATTTAAAATAGCATAAAAACATATCCCTTCCATCAAAATGCAGGAGCTCTTTTAATTGCCTGCTTATTGTTATCTTTCTGTCTAAAAAAAATAAACAGTGGAGATCCTCTCCTGGCTCACATTAAACAAGTTAACTATGAATGAAGGGGAGATAAAGGTAGTGGTAGGTAGGCATAATACACATTGAACTGCACAAAATGCAACAATCAGAACCTCGATATTCAGGGGTTAATAATTTAGATGATCTTCACCTTTCTATTTTTTGCCATATGAACTGTCATTAGTATTTTTTTAAAAAAGAGGAAAAAGTAATAACTATTATTTCATTGTTAAAAGCAATAAAAATAGTAATAGGGTAAATAAATGCTTAAAAGATCTAGATCATATATGTTAGATATTTGTTTTAGCTGAAAATTTGTTTCCAAATTTTATAACTTTTGAATGAATGAATGAAAATAGCATCATTCTCTAAGAAACCCAGTCTTCAAAGCACTTAACAAGAATAAACACAGTTTTCCAACATGAAGACAAATATTTCTTCAAAGCAAAGTTATAATTACAACCAGTTCATGGTGAGATACATAGTTTCTATAGCACTGCTCAATCCTTTCATTCAACAGTATCTCTCATGACTCTCTAAGCACAGCAGATACTTAATAAAGGTCTGATTATGATGGTGAATATTGGATGTTGGTCAGGAACTAGACTCTGCAGTCTGAGCAGGCTCTGAACCCCAGTTCTGCCAATGACAATTGGGCTGTCCAAGAGTTACATCAAATAATGCTTGCAAAATGCTAAGCAGAGCTCCTGGCACAAGGCAAACACTGAACATATGGTAAAGATTTTAGACCCAGTTATCTACACACAGGCCAATAAAATGACTAACTTGTAGAAGTTTACGGGAGCCTGCTTACTACAAAGTTTGACTCATTTCTGAAATGATAGCCAAGATGAAATAGCAGAGAGAGATTTTAGAAGAACAGAGAAATGTTAAAGGGAAGATTACAGAAAATAAATCTATTTCCTTACTTTAGTATTTTAAATTAAGAATTTAATATTTAAAAAGGCATATAAAAATAATCTCCTATGGAAAAAACTCAATTTGAGAAATCATGTTAAAAATGATGCTGACATCCTAATTAAAAAATGACATACCAAACTATCTTCTGCAAAATCATTCCACTTGTGGCGTTTAATACTTTCTTCTTTTACAGCCTCTTTAAGTTTATCAAATATGTCATCATGTTCTTTTCCCTTGGGTTCTGTCATGAAGCGGGAAAATTCTTCCTGTAGGGTCTCCCAAGCAACCTACAATTATTTAAAAAGAAAAAAACCCTGTGTTTATACTACATACTTTAATATGAAAAATAATGAAATCAAGTCAAACAGATGTGATAAATCAGCTTATCAGGAAATGCATATGAAGGAAAGTACACTAAGAAAAAGGCAGCAAATATAAACTATGGTCTAGGTAGTGGGTGGGACAGGTTAGGCTTCCTGACATGTTTGACTATTTAGACACAGTGTATTAAATTTTTAGAAATTAGTCACCAACATTTAAAAACTGAGTGACTTCATATAAATTTTATGGAGAATCTGGAAATAATATACCCACATTCCCACATGACAACACCTGGTAGAGCTGAATAGGGGCCACATCCTTTAGATAAGGTTTGCATTCCAAGTCGGCTAGCAGATTTAGTTAACTTGTTTATCTTTATCATCATCATCATCATCATCATCATCATCATCATTTTGGTCCTAGGGATTGAACCCAGGGGTGCTTAACCACTGAGCCACATCCCCAACCCTTTTTATTTCAAGACAGGGTCTTGCTAAATTGCTTAGGGCCTTTCCAGCCACAGGTATTACAGGTTTGTGCTACTGGGCCTGCCTTAGTTAACTTGTTCATTTCAACCTATAAGACAATTAAGTTTGCTGGCTTCTACACCATAAAAAGTTCAAAATTTCTTATTGAGTCAACTATCTCCACATCTTTGCCTTTAAGCAAACACATGAAAAAAGGCATAATTACTTTCAAAAATAGCTTGAATACAAACAAGATACAAGCATTATTCACTACTGTATTATAGTTAGCTCCTAATAATCTAATAAAAGGAAGAGTACAGTATTAAAAAATAATTAAGAACTAAATCTGGTTATGATTAAGTGGGCTTTTAAATGTTGGACTTTGTTTATCACACCCTCATTCTATATATAAGAAGTTATGGCATAAAGACAAATGATTGTCAAAAGGACACAGTGCGTTGTGAGGTATTAACATCTGCACTTCCTGACCCTTACCAGATCCATGTTCTTTCCATTGTGCCTAAGGTTAAGAACAATAAGTGGGGCTGGGGCTGTAGCTCAGTGGCAGAGCGCTTGCCTTGCATGTGTGAGGCACTGGGTTCGATCCTCCTCACCACATAAAAATAAGCAAATAAAATAAAGGCATGCTGTCCATTAAAAAACAAACAACAACAAGAACAATAACAAAAACAGTAAGTGGCAGGAGACGAAATCATGGTTTTTATGATCACTTACTATTTACACTTAAATCTTAGGAATGAAAATATCCTCTCATGGGATGGGACTCAGAAAACTGTTAGGGCCAGTAGTAAGGAGGGCTAGTGAAGTGGTGGCAGTAGCTCACCAATTTTTATTCAGGGTAAATATCTTGAGAACTGTGTGAAGCAACATAGTACTTAGGTAGAAAGGCAGCAAGAAAGAGAGGCTTGAGGAAACTGAGAACAGAGTTAAAGCAGCACAGGACTGAAACAGGACAGGAAAGGGGAGAAGTCACACCTGAATAATTAGAATTTGTTTTTAATGTCAGTGTGAAAAAAAAATTACTTTCAATGTTGACTCTAATTTTGTGACCAACCTCACAAAGAATACTCCGCACAGAGCAATGTGCAGGACAGGTCAGCCTGGACAATGATGATGATCATAATAGCAGCTGCATTTCCTCAGTAGTTACTATGGGTCAGGTGTTATTTAAAAACTTTTTACATATATGAACTCATTTAGTCCTTATAATAACTCTGTGAGGTAGAAAACAGCATCATTTCTGTTTTTTAGATGAGAAAACAGAAAGGTTAAACACCCAGCCCAAAGATCACACAGCTAAGAAGTTGAAACAAGATACACAAGTAACAAAAATGGATTCCTTAAAGTACTTTTTATAATTCTTAGTCTAATTGGCAAGAGCCTACCTATGAAAATGAATAGTGTAATTTGAGCATTGTAAGAATGAATAAATAAAATGTTTGATCTATTAAACATTTTCCTAAGTTGTTCAATATATTTCACATTCAAACAAATTTTGCTGGTTTTGTTAAATGTTATCTTTTGGAGAAGAACCAATGCCCTCGGGCAAACACCATCCCAATTAGCAAATTTTTATATCTACATTAGCTGGTAGCAACATTAAGGTTAGTTCCAACAGAGAGATGAGGAACAAAGCATAAATGAAGTATAAAGACCAAATAGAAAAATAGTGGCTGTGATGAAAGTAAAATCTAAAATTCACAGCTCCTACTCTCTTCAGATAATGCTTCTTACCCATTTAATTAAATTATATCCTAACCTCTACTGCTTTATTTGGAAGCTGTTTATCAGTCCACTGTTTAAGCTTGATATCCACTGTGGTATTAAAAGTTCCTGAATTCATGGTTTGTGCAGCTGGAAGATAGATGTTTTCAATCACATGAGTTGATACTCTTTCCCACAAAGACTGTTGAAGGATTTCCTCCCTGAAAAGCAAAACAAAATTATAAGAACATCAAATTTAAATATAATAAGTTTCTAAAAACAGCTTGATTGAAGTATCATTAACTTACTATAAATTGTAAATAAAGTTTTGACATGTGTATAACATCTATGAACTACAGCAATCAAGATAACAAACATATCTATTATCCCCAAAGCTGGAACCACTCTATGTACTGTGACTATGATTAATTTATACTTTCTAAAACTTTATTTTGTCTTCTTTCACTCAACATAATTATTCTGAAATTCATCATGTTGTATGTGTTAATATTTCACATACTTCTCATTATTTTTATTACGAGAAGTATTCCATTGAATGAATCTGTTCATCCATCCACCTGTTGATGGATGCTTAGGCTACTTCTAGTTATTGGTTATTACAAGTAAAGATGTTATGGGAATACATTTAAAAATCTTTGTAAGGACATATGCTTTCATTCCTTTTGGGAAAATGTCTAAGAGTGAAATAACTGGGTCTTTTGATAATTATATGTTTAACTTTTTAAGATATCACTAGACTATTACACAAAATGTTTGCACCATTATACATTCCTACCAGCAAAGAATGCAAGTTCTATGTTCTCTATGTCTTTAATGGCATTTGGTATGCTCAGTCTGTCATTTAGGCTATTGTAGCAGGTTTACAGTGGTATCTCCTGTGGTTCACATTTCTCTAATAACTAATAATTTTATGCATTTTTCATGTGCTTATTTATCTAACATTAACATATACTTTATGTGTTTACTGTAGAGTTTAACACAAAACTTTTGATGTAATTTTTACAATTTATCAGACCACCTCATAAAGCATAGTGATTTTATGGTATTGCTAGATGAAATAACTTAACACATCATGATTAAAGAAATAATATAAAATATGCATGATCAAGTTGAAAATATTTATAAGAAATTTTAAGAACACAGATCACTAAATAAGAAAAAGAAATTATTTTAATTAAGAAAAAAGTGAAATCTTAAGAAAATATTTGTCTTCCCTTGAGCCAAATTTTACTATAATAGGATTCAAAAACAAACAAAAACTAAAGCATAACCAAATCCAACCAAATGAAAACAAAAAACCACATTGTTTATCATATGGTCAGTCTTCAGCATAACCTCAGTCAACGGTGGAGGCCAATCACAGAGCTCAGAGTGGCTATAGAAACACCCCTGTTGCCCCAAAGCAAAATAAAGAGCTTAGCTCCTGGTTTCACCTGGCCAATTTTAAGGTCTTTGGTCAGTTATAACCAGAAAACTAGAGTTCAAGGAAAGGATACATCACTGATGCCCAAAGAACAGAGACCATTCAGTCACTAAGTAATGACAAAAAGTGGATGAATTTAAGAAGATGAAAGAAAAGGAGTTTGTAAGAGATTCCTACTGAAATGCCATTTGAAATACAAATAGGAAGATGTATAAAAACAGAAGAGAAGACCAGAGTTCAGTCTCTCACCTCTAGGGCTTTTTTCTACTCCTGCCTCAGAACAGGTCTGATCTGTTATTTCTTTTTAGGACTCTTGGACCAAGAATATACATCCCAGACACACTTTTGAAACTGTAACAAAATCCAGAGTACCAAATTTTTTTTTTCATTTTTTTTTATTGGTTGTTCACAATTTTTTTTTTTTTTTTTTTTTTGGTGCTGAAACCCGAGTACCAAATTCTGACAAGCCTACTGCTTTCCATTCTTATCCATAATAGACAGCTGCTATCACTTTCCTTTATACAGCCTCTCCTACCCTTTCATCACCAAGTTGCTGTCCTCTGTCCCAGGCTCCTACTGCTCCCCTCCATCACTATTTTTAATATGGCCCCAATATCAGTTCTATAACAAATAAGGAATTTTACACTCTCACTCTTTCCCTGTTCCTTTTATCTTTAAACCTTTCTGGCTCTCCCTTAAGTAAAGTGATTATCCTCAAGTTTTACTGAATGGAAGCTGTCAGCAGTTAAACGTGCTTCAGAATTGGAAGTTAGAAGCTATGTTTTCTTTACCCTATAATCTCTCTTCTAGATCATTAGTCCTCAACTCTCTCATAAAAACTCCTGTACTATGAAGACACCCATCTGGTTGTACCCATCTGCTATCCTTCCTGTTGCCATCATCCAACAATTCCCCTAGCATGTTCTATAGATTTCTTCATTGTAGGTCTGTCCATCATCCAGGGATATAGTCTACAAATACACAAAATACATATAACACTGTAGTTATACCTTCTTTATCGCCAAGAACTTGATCTACATTTCAATTTAACTAAGAAATACTTTTTGAAGTGGATTTTTTTTTCTTTGAAAGAAGAGGACTTATGCTGGTTGCAGTGGTGCATGCCTGTAATCACAGGTTGACTTGGGAGGCTAAGGCAGGAGGATCTAAGTTTTAGGCCAGCCTTAGAAACTTAGATCCTAAGCCTAACTTAGCAAGACCCTGTCTGAAAATAAATAAATAAATATTAAAAAAAGGGCTGGGATGTAACTCAGTGGTAGAGTGCTCCTGGGTCCAATTCCCAATATCAAAAAATGAATAAACAAATAAAACGGAGAGAAGAGAACTTACTCAATATAATAATTTCAGCCAATACAGAGAAATAAGTCCCCCAAATCTTTTTTCTAGGAGACACACACTTTGTAGTTTATTATTAAAAAGTATAGTGCCTATATAAATATTGTATATGGGTTTGTGTACTTACACAAGTGGACCATAGTATTCATACTAGTTTATAAATGCTTTTTACAAATCTTAATGTACATGATGTTTCCCATGTTAACATACTGTATTTTTTAGTGGCTGCACAATAATCTATAGGAAAATCAAATACTATGTAATTCTGAATAGTTACTGTCCATTATTTTTACATTTATAAACAAAACCAAGGTGAAGATTCTTCTGTGTTCATCTTTGTCAAATATATCTTCATTTTCATATATTCCTAGTAATGTCATTGCTGGATATAAATATATTCGATTAATGAACTCTTCTTCATTAGCTATCCATCAAAACACTCAAATCTTGTCAATTCTATTTTTAAGGTAAGCTTTTGAATATCTTGAAAATGGCTCCTCTTCTTCATCTACACTACCACTACCCACATTTAAGCCATCATCACCTCTTATTGTAGCAGTCAACTGCTTCCTTACTTCTAGTTTTCTCTACCAGTATTCCATTGCTATATCACAAAGATCTTTCTAAAATATAAATCTGATCTAAACCTCTTCAATGGGCCCCACTTATGGAATAAATTCTAAGCTTCTGAATATGGCTTGTAAAACTTAATATTCTGGCTGTCATCTATTCTATTTCTTACTTCCTGACTCCATCTATGCTAAGCCAGTGGACACAGCTACCTGGCTCACCTCTCTTGCTTTTACTGCCTGGTCTCCATGATACCTAACACCAATGCACCCATTAAATCTCTGATTATGATTTTGTAGCTCTTCAATTTCTCAAACTTGAATTAGGGGATTCAACTGTGCTTTTCTATTTTACTTTTATTTTCATTATTTTAAACTAAATTAAAATAAACAATACTTTTCACCAAAAATTACATGAATACCAGAGTACCTTTTTAAAGTCCATATCTATGAAGCCAACCAACTCTCTTACTGGAAAAGACATATACTTGTTGATGGTAACATGTTAATGATATGCCAGTATCTCCTACTCATATTAATAATTAGTTCTTGAAAACCAAGTACTTTATGTAGAAATGCTGACAGTCTACAATCCAGTACTTGTCAAATCAAAACCCTAACTTTTTAAAAACACAACTAAAATACAGTTCAATGTCTACAAATGAATAAAAAAATGTTAGGAGCTAAGGTGCTTATAACACTGAAATATAAATCAGTCCTGTGATTTAAATAATTATATAGACATTAGGCATGTGTCCTAAAACATCACAAGACATTATGCAGCAAGAGATACCAATAAAAATTTTTAAGGCAATATCAACCATGTCACAAAAATTAAATGTTTTTAGTGTAGTGCAGTTAAATTCAATGTGGCATAAAGTTAGATTAGGACTTGTTCTTGTGATTCATGTCCTTTTAAGCTCTAGAGTCTGAAGGAAAAAAAGTAAATGAAAAGATGAGAGAATCATCTGATTGACAGCTCATAGAAATAATTCTCCAGGAGCCAGATGTCACAGTTCTCACCCTTGCCTTTTCAATGGTCAATCTTGCAGTACAGGTTTCTTATTCCTTCACTATCCATTTGGCCCCCTGGTATTAAATAAATTAGATTTATCTTCTGGGTTTGCATCAGTGTAGATATTCTTTGATTTCAGGATTGCTCTGTCCAACCAAAACTAAGGTTTCCATTTGATGATGCCAGAAATTAATTAGCAGAAGGATCAGTTTTCCCTCCCATAAACTAAATGATTATATGTTTTAGTTTACAAATCATTTACGAACATTACTCTCATACAAAGTGACAAAGCATTTAGTTCTGTATTTGCATCTAAACACAAATATTTATGTATCTGTTTCTTGCAAATTCAAAAGCTAACTGACTTACACAACACTACTGCAAATAGGTTAAAACATAAGTATATCAAACATAAGAAGCTGTATCATATATATATGATTAATAAATCAAGTATAGATAAGATCAGATCTCTTTTTTGGGGGGTGAGGATTAAGGAGAGATTAAAAATGGTCAAGTACTGCTAAACAGATCTTACTTATCTGTGACGCTGAGATGGGAATAGCAAACTTGAGAGGCAAGTCTGGGAATTTAGAGAGACCTTGTCTTAAAATACAAAACTAAAAAGGGCTGGGGATGTATCTGAGTGGCAGAGCACTCCTGGATTTGATCCCAGTACAGGAAAGGGGGACAAATATTGACTAAGAGAGAGGAAGGATCATTACTGAGGAAGAAAGGACACTGGGATGGGGAAACTAGTGAAACCAAATTCAAATTTAAGGACTAGACACTAGTGTCCTGACTTGGTGGTGAAAACCTTCAACAGAGCAAACATAGAAGGTACTAAAAATATTTATCATAAATGGTGGTAAGAATAGTTTTTCTACAAGAATGATAAATTCTTAAATATACCATAGACCATGTATGGAAAATAATTTAGGCACAAAGAATTTATTAATCAATATAATGATTGCAAAAATTTCAAAGCTACTTTTATATAGCTGACTGAGGTACATATAGTTTATTTGTTTATAATGCCCAATCCAACAAATTTAAGAATGCCCAAATTAACACAAAACATAAACTGAAGGTGATCCTTCACGTTAAAAGAGATTCGTGTGAGAATTTACCTTAGGTAAAATGCTGCAGAGGTAAAAATGCAAAAGTAAATAAATAAATAACAAATCTTGAAAATGTGATCTGTATACAATATAGCAGGAGTATGTTTAGAAAGCAATAACTGTCCTTACTCTAAAATGAGAACTTGGGAATATATACTACTTTCTCTTTATAAAACAATTTTCTCTACAGTTTTTTTCTCTATGATTAATCTAACAATGAATTCTAATAGATTGTTTGCTATGTATATAAAGCATAATTTATGAAGACTTCACCTAAATGATTTTATAGAAAACATGATTATATATTTATTAACTGTAAAGAAAAGACAAAGATTTAAAAGACCATATAGAAAGTTATCTTCCAGAAATTCAATGATTAGATTACAATAGCAGACATCTTGCAAAGATATAATTTTATGCAACAATAAACATTGCTTTATCAATCTAAGTTTGCATATTTCATTTAATTCAAATAGTAACATCACTGAGACAAGGGATTAATGGCAAAGTCAAATACTCACCAATGTTTCGGTGTAACCTGGCTCAAACTGATAACTTCATCAAGGATTTCATTTTTAGCTTTTTCAAATAGTTCATTCTAGGCAATATAGATACAAGTAAGATATTTTGAAAGACAATAAATTTGCCCTGTTATGATTTTAAGGAAACCAAAAAAAAGCCTTTGGTAGGGTAGTAGGCTTAATTTATGTATAAATATGCAATCCTAGCAAAAATACTCTTATAATCTATTTATTTTGAAATATCATTATCAGATAAGGACAAAAAAAGTGATATAAATACTGATATAAATGACCACCTTACTCAATTCTAAATGTAGGTTTTCATTAGCATTTTTTCCCCAAAGATTTCCATATTACTGATGTTATATGAAACAATATTTATCTATTTAGTATAATAGTAAATAAATGTTGGTTGGTTGTTTTACAACAAATGGTATTTTAATATTAAGGAAAAACAATATTCAGTTTCCACTAAATTAGAGTCTACTTCTCTAAGGTAAAATGCTGAAAGGTAATTTTTAAAAATTTTTGATTACACTTTAAAGAATATTCTTCAATTCTCAGGAAACATTTTAACACTTGTTTTGATATCTTATGATACCTAATTACATTATGAAATACAGTGAACAATTTATTTTAGAAGAGATAACTGTGTCTATATTATAGTCCAAACCAAAGCAATTTAGCTAATAAGATCTCTCATTAACATCAATTCTGTTAGAATATAGTAAATTAAAATATCTACAAAATATACGAGGTACCATATATTACCCGATCAAGTTCTCGCAGGCGAGGATAGTTATTCTTCCACTCAGTTTCAAGGTTAAAACGTGTTGCTGAGGAAGAAGAAAACTGTTTTAAGTTTATGATCTCATTTATTTATTTATTTATTTCTATGCTGTGCTGAAGATCAAACCGAGTGCCTCGCATATGCTGGGCAAGTGCTCTACCACTGAGAGACAACCCCAGCCCCATGATTCTCTTTCTTCTCAGGTGTAATGGTGAAAGGCTATCTTGCATATCTTCTGTATCAACCGGATTTCTGAGGGTGCACCTATGATTAGTACTCTGGGTTCTTAACATCTCAGAATTTTATAATTGCAATAGTTATCTAATATTTTCTTTGATTCTAGTTTTCCCATTTCACAAACAGGTGCAGCAGCTTGGTATGGCTGCTAAAAGAAGGATCTGGAGTTAGACCACTAAGATTTAAATCCTCAGTCTAACTGCTATGTGACACCAGTTGTGTAAATTACTCTGCACCTGTATTCTCTTTTTTTTTTAATTTGTTTTAATTAGTTACACATGACAGTACAATGATCTTGACATATCATTCATTTGAATCAGATGGGATATAATATCTCATTTTGCACCTGTATTCTCTTCTGTGAAATGGGAATAAAAATAATACTTAACAGGTTGCTCAGGTACTAAGTGGGAAAAATATATAAATTTTCCAAATGGGAAAAGAGAAGACTATATTCTCACCAGGTGATGATATGTAAGGAAAGACACAGAGCAGTAAACTGTGGGACTAAGAAAACAGGACAATGTAGCTGAAGCACAGGGTGCTCTGCGTCCCAACATGTTTCCTCACATTTCTTTATAAAGAGAGAATCGAAGTTCTGTATAGTTTAGTAAGTAAGCTTCCTCTCAAACATTACTACAAACTTCTTGACTTTTTAAATACTCTGTAATGGCTCCTAGCAATGTTTCTTCTCAAAGGGAAAAATCCCATAATTAATGACACACCAAAGGTTTGTGTTTTTTCCATTTTCCACATATTGTCTAACAGTAAATCAAGTACAACTTCTAGGCAACTATAAAGAAAGGGAGTGAAACATGATGGATGCTGAAGATTGCCAGCTAATAAAATGTCTAAATTTGTTTGCTTATTTTAAAAATCCAACTTACCCTTAAAACTATCAGCCTGTTGTTCAACTGACTCTCGTACCATTTTCCAAAAGCAGTCTGATACAGCAAGGCTTAAATTTCTTGTAGTCACTTGGTGTGCCTTTAGCATACTTGTCCTATTGAAACAAACAAGAGCTAAAATATATTCAAACGGTAAAGGGACAATAATACTACCACTAACTTGGAGAATGCACGTGTGTGTTATGAGAATAGCCACTTATATCTTTTATATAAGTTACGACACTGTCAAGTATAACTTTCTGTGGTGAAGAAAAAGTTCCACAACTGGGCAATCCAATAGAGTAACTGCTAGCTATATAGGGTTACTGAGCCCTTAAAATAGTTGGACTCACTGGTTCTCTACTTGTCCAGTGTCAAAAATCCTTTCCTGAGTGTGATAAAATTTTTAATTTTATCAAATATTAATTAATTTAAATTTTTAATAATTGCAGACTAGCAACTGTTGTATTGACAGCACAGTTCCATGTCTGTCAGTTCTTCCCAATAGACACTTCTGTAGGCTGTTGGCAAATACACTATTCTATTTCCAGAAACACTCTACGTATAAAGCTTTAATATAATTCAATTGCCCTTTTAGCTTTTCCTTTTTAGTCAATACCTCTATTAAATTCTGATAATACTTATTCAGAGACATTCTTTTGACATCCTCAGTTCAACTTTCCCTAATACTTTAAAACAAAATGTGAA